TTGAACACACATCCTTAAACAGGCCCACATTTCAGTTGCTGCCAGTTTGGACACCCAATCTGTTCTCAACAAAGGAGAGGTGCAAACAACTTTTCTGTCAGTGTCAGTAGCTGATGTGGGGACCTTTTTCCTATTGACAGGGAGGGGGTGGATCTGAGTGACCGCAGGCCTGCACTATTGTGTGACCCTGCTTCTTTTTCAGCTCTTTTAGATGTGGCGGCCATTTTGTCTTATGCCACACTCTCACAGAAGCCATTTTGTAACTGGCATCCAGGGTACCACCTCAACATTTGAAATGTGCCTACTAGGCCCCAAAAGTTGGCAACCTCTGCGCTATTGTGTAGTGCGTCCACTTTCACCTGCAATCCATCCTGTTGTGCTGCTGCTGGCCGTAACCCTGTGGTAATTGGCTACATTCAGTGGCATGCCTTTTATGCATTCATCCTCATTATTTTCACATTCTAAGTTGACTTCATCCTCACAGATCTCGAGCTACCGAAGCCAAATATCACCCTTTACCCAAAGAAGCTGATTTACCTGGGAAGTAATGTGTCTATTCAGTGCTCATTCAAAGAGGCAACCCAACGTCCAATCCAAAAGTTCTATCTCCATACTGATGCAGATAAGATGAAACCACATTCTGTGAAACCAGATGGAGACACAGCCACATTTAACATTATAGAAGCGCAAGAGCATCATGCAGGCAAATATCGCTGCAACTACAGAGCACCTTCAGGGGATTTTATCTCCTCCAAGTCCAGTGATGATTTGGAGTTGTTTGTCATAGGTAAGGGTTCTGATTCACTGTCTCCAAGACAAATATAGTGATCCAGCTTGCTGGATGTTTGTACTCTAGCCTTAGAGTACCTGGACTATGTAGAGCAGTGTTGGGAGACCTGTACTCCTTCCCCTTGATGTTGCTGGACTATAAGTCCCATCATCCTCTGACCATTGGTTATACTTGCAGAGGCCAATGGGAGCTGGAGTCCAAGGACATTTGGAGAGTCACATAAGTAAAGGGGATGAAAAAGGCCTTCCTATTTCTTCTCATGTTTCCCACCAAATTCCTGGTTTACAGCATCATAGCTGCTTCGATTAGTGAACGTCCATCTTGATTCTAGAGAGTGTTGGAGCTTGGGTAGAGTTGGGTAGATGTCTTTCCAGGCTGAACGACAACATGGAGTGTTTCCCTTTCCATTATGCACCCTTCCACCACACAAAATCGCATGGTGTAAACAATCCACCGCAAAGATGGAGAGCCCTTCATTAACCAACTTCTCCCTTCTTACAGATCCCTACTTTCCTAGACCCATTATCTCTCTGGGCCCCACTGAGCTGGTTGCTTTTGGGGGAAATGTCACTTTCCAATGTCAAAGCAAAAAGTTTTCCACGAGGTTCTATATCCAAAAGTCTGGAGAAGAGATGCTTCAGCCATGCTTGGGGACTGATGAGACCACAGCTCAGTGCTTTGTCTCCAATGTAGACCAGGCGCATACGGGAGAATATAGCTGCAGGTACAGCGAGTCAAAACCTTTCATCATCTCAAAGACTAGCAAACTTGTGAGATTGCTAATGACAGGTAAGAGAGTGAACTTTGCATTTACATACCTCTCCCATGACTTATTATTTATTTGGGGTTTAGGTGCACCATGTCCATTGAGAAATAAGCTTCCATTGAGTTCAATTAGGCTTATCCCCAGGTAAGCATGTATAGGGTTGCGATCTTAATTTGTATTTCAGTACAGAATAAAATTGGGCCTGTCTTTGTTCCCCTCACATTAGATTTTATTCAGAGGCAGATTTTATTCACTAGCATTTGGCATCCTCAGGTAGCTGTCCCAGAAGGGCCCACTGCTGCGTCTACCTTCCCTGGCCACACTTCAAATCATTTTTATGAGGTTCCCATGAGAGCTGTGGGGATGGATGCTGCCATTTTAATTTCCCATGATGCCCCAATGTAATGTGGGGAATTAACATGGTGGCTCTACTGGGATACAGCTGCTGCTCACTGCTGCCACCACCAAGTAAAGCCACTGGAAGACCCATGGAAATAGGAAGAGGCCAGCCAATGGGCACTTTGCTGAGTCCTCCCCCAACCCCTGTTCCACAATTCTGGAGGTGGCTCCATTCAGAGGGAACAAACATTCACTGGTATTCATGAAGAAAGCTCAGTCATTCCCAAACTGAGCACCATGAGAAAGCTGCTACTATGTTGTGATAGATAACTTAAATTATTGAAGGCTGCTTTGAACCTGAGATACCTCAGAAGATGGATACCCACTGCATCCCAGCTACATTTTTAAAAATAATGTTCTTGATTATCAGCCTGAGGAGTAATGAGTGAGAGAGGGACCATATATTAATCAGGGCACCCAATATGGTGGTTTTTGGATGCTGAGGGACTCCAGTTCCTATCAGCCTCATCCAGCATAGTCAAGGTCAGGGTTGATGGGAGCCGTAGTCCAGCAACATCCATAGGGGGCCATTTTGTATAGTCCTGATAAAGGCAGAGTAATGGTGCCCAGAGATTATCCTTTTCATACAAGGAGAGGGATGAGAATCTCTGTCATGAGTGGGACACACAACACATGCCACGTCTTTTCCATAGTTGCACATGCTACTGTGCATTTTACTGCATTTTAAAATAAAATAATTGCTTTCAACAAGGCTGAGATTTCAAAAAAGATCAGTAATTTTATTAAAATTTCACATTTGACAATTTTGGCACAATAAAGTTCAGAAGAAGATAATGAATGTTTATATGCTAGTTTCCACTGGGAGAAAGGACACAAGGCTCTGACACTATTTATTTTGTAAAATGCATAAGACTTTTCTTTTCTGGGAGGCCTGCCTAGAAAGAAAAGTCCTTGATCATTTATTATTCTGGTGATAGTACTATGATGTTTTCATGAAGCAGTGTTTTCTTTGTTTTACTGTATTCTTATTTGTACATCACTACAATGATCCATGGGATTGGTAATTTACAAATGACCACTTACATAAAACAAAAAATGGATGTCAGCTTTCGTTTCTGACTATTCAGAAAACAAACTCCCACAGGCATCATGTTTCTCTTTGCAAAATGGCCTAGGATTCAATCCTAAACACCACGAAACTCAACGAGACTTACTCATCCTAAGCATGTGTACAATTACACTGTGTACAATGTGTACAAAGCATGGGTGGGTGTTTTGCGATGCTACATGCACTGTTTAATATGCTTTCTGTTCATAGATCAGAACACAGCCCAACCCAATATCTCCCTGATCCCAGGCTACATTGCACAACTGGGAAGCAAAGTCACCATTCAGTGCTCAGCCCAAGGTCAGAGCAAGAGGTTCTATCTTCATAAGGCTGAAGACAAGAGGAATCTACAAATAGCAGTGACAAATGAGGACAGGAAGAACTTCAGTATCAACAAAATGAACTGGGAGCATGGAGGGAGCTTCTACTGCAGCTACACAGAGCCCTCACAGTTTTTCACCTCTTCAGAGGCCAGTGACCGTGTGGAGCTGTTTGTACTAGGTGAGGATACCAATTAAGTCCCAGTATTCTTTGTGGCGTGTTCTGGTCCATGGGGCCATGAAGAGTCGGACACAACTAAACGACTAAACAACAACAACAATTCTTTGTAGGAAGAAACAACTAGTATAACTGTGCTTTAAATAGCTAGTACAGGTGAGAGCTCAATTTATAGCTGAAAGTCCTCATACAAACACTTTTGGCTTAACACCAGTTTTCATGAACAAGGAAATGAAAATAGAATACAAGCCACAAGGAAAGCTCAGGAAGAAAACCTTTGGTTTGGGACTGAAATGAAGGCAGAGAATGAAGGGAAGAAATTGTAACAAATGCAGACATTTCAATCAGTTAAAGAAAGTGAGGGAGGGAGGGAGGGAGGGAGGAAGGAAGGAGAAAGAAATGTTTTCATTAAATAAATAAGAGCAAACTGCCAAATCTTTCTATTGGGAGACGCTTATAATGTCTATCTATCATGGAGTTCTAAAGGACCAGGTGCTCTAACATATGAAAAAAAAAATACCAACAGGCTGACTGAATATATTTTGCTTCCTTGAAGTGATGGACAAGATGGCAGGCAACAACTTCTGGAGGGCACTATCTTGGTTAGCCCTGCAGAAGGCTGTTAACATTCACAGCACTGGTGATGGGGGTGGTTCCTTGTTGTCTCATTTCCTCTTTTGCACAGTTCTCATGTTACCCAAGTCTATCAGTTCTCTGACCCACACTCAATGGATCACCCTCAGGGGTAAATGTCACCATCCATTGTCAGAGCAAATATTGGCTTGGAATAGCCTTCGCCGATCAATTTCTTCCTTTGCACAGATCCCAAGTTATCCAAACCCAACATCACCCTGGCACACACTCAGTGGGTTGTCCGGGGTGGAAATGCCACCATCAATTGCCAAAGCCAACTCTGGGCTGCAAAGTTCCTTTTTGAGAAGACTGGAAAACAAATGCCTCTTCAAGTCATAGAGATTAATGGGACCATGGGCACATTCTTCATGAAAGATGCTAACTTGGAGGATGGAGGGAACTATAGCTGCAGGTACAGTGCCAAGGAGAAACCTTTTATCATCTCAGAGCCCAGTGACTTGGTGACAATCAAGATAACAGGTATGAGAACTAACTTTGCCCATATCCTACCTAGTCCCATGCCTTGTTCTTAATTTTGGGTATTATTTGAGTTATAGCTACAGGATCTGTTCTATGTCTAATAGGAAAGTACAAAGGAAGCTGCATGTTCTGGATGACTGGACAGACATATCAAGGGCTGTAGCTTAGTGGTAGAACATGTGTTTTGCATGCAGAAGGTCCCAAGTTTAACCCCCAACATCTCCAGGTGTGGCTGGGAATGCCTCTCTCTGAAACTCTGTGGAACAGATGCTGATCAGAATAGACAATAGCAGCTTCCTATGCTCCTAACATGTGCCATGCTCTTTAGGATCCCGTTCCTGCCCTAGGGAACTGAGAGAAACTAAAAAGAAGACTGCCCCCCACCAACCTTCTCTACTTAGAATTCTGCATCATGTTTTGCAGTTACTAGGTTGTTTTGTTGTTGTTTGTAAAGACCCAGGTTGCATAGTTGTGACTCCTAACAGATTGGGGCAGTAGCAATCTCTGTAATGGGGTGGAGTCACTCTTGTAACACCAGCTTCACTGCCGTCTATCAGGATGGAGTTGGAGTGGGCAAGAGTGGTGGTGAGGCTGGGGTGTGCAAGCACATCAGCGAGAGCATGAGATTGGCTCTGTCACCCTGCTCCATCCAGCTAAGCTGCAATCGCATCAGAGTCAGGTGGGCACCTCTGCACCTACTGGCTCTGGAGTTTTGTGTGACAGGAGCACAGAAGGGATGAACTGACAGTGACAGTCTAGGAATGGGTTGGGTGTTCATAGATTTTAACCAAGAACTACTTTAGAACATTTTGGCTGCGGAGAGAACCAACAATTGCCACAAGTATACCAATCTATTCTGAGGTCCATATACACAATGGCACAACATAAGCAGGTTAAGTAAGTCTTTTTAGGGACAGATGCAATGATGTCTCATGAGTGGGGAAAGAGGGAATAACCCCAGAATTCAGCTAAGAATAGTGAGTGGCAGGTTTTTTCACCCTGAAAAGAACATCAAGTTTCTAGCACAATATTGGTGAGGATAACCTCAAAACTGCTAGCACAATGTCTGTGAAATCTCAAAAGGCAAAACAGCTTGATTCAGCACAAAGGACATCAGTGTGGTCTGAATCCGAGCATATGACAATTGTATGGACAATACAGGGAGCAAGCGGGTTAAGGATGTTTGCCAACACTGCACTGCTGCTAGCTCATCCTCTAGACATGCACATTTTAGGACTGCCCTTGTCTAGAGGATGAGCTAGCAGCAGTGTAATATTTTTTGCCGGTGAAATGGCTTAGTTCCTCAGTCATGAGTAGAATAGTGATGCCACATGCATTTTCTCTCGCAGATCCTGATCTACCCAGGCCCAGCATTTCTTTTCATCCTAGTCCAATGCCACAGCTGGGGGAAAACATCACCATTCAGTGCTCTGTCAATAATTCATACAAGGCATGGTATCTTTATAAGGATGATGGTAAGAAGGAATTACAGTCAGTGGAGGCAAGTAGCTCTGATGCTGTGTTCCTCATCAAGAATGTGAGTGAAGCTGACGGAGGGAGCTACTACTGCAATTATAGACCCCAGTCAGGGTCCTTCATCTCGGAGGCAAGTAATATCGTGGACCTTTACCTAGTAGGTGAGGATCTTCACGATATTCTAAACTAATGAATTTTGGTGCCCAATGTGGCATATTTTGGTATAACTTACCCCACAAACAAATAAGAATGGATGCTCAGTCAAGACTGGATATGCTCTAATCTCCACATAAGCTTTGTGCAAGCAAATCATGATAAATGGTGCCTCGAAATGGCTCTCCTGATGGCTTCTTCGGTGGGTTCCCTTTATGGCGGCCATCGCCTGCATCCTCACCACTTGGGGGGCAGTGGGGGAGACAGCGAGGAGTGGCTGGAGGTCCCCTCAGAGGTGGCCATGGCAAACTGGAGTGCTCTGCTGGGGCTGCTGCTGTGGTGGTGCGAGGTGTTGGTGGCGGCAGCTCCTCAGGGCTGCCCACCAACTGCATACAGGGCAGAGGTGGTGGCTGCCTCAAGAGCAGTAACAAGCCCTCTCTGCCAGCCAAAGCAGCAGGAGGAGGGAAGTGGTCTGCAGCAGCCTAGCTCTGGCCCACATTCCAGACTCTAGCAGGCTGCCCAGTGAGTAGCATCACCTACCTGGCTGGCTTTCCCAGTAGAAGATACCCATGCCCACAAAGAGGCACCCTGCCAAGGAAAAGGGTTTGGGGTGAGTAGGACCAGGGTATTGTTTAAGTATATTTTTCAAAATACTTTAAATCAATCTTATTGCGCTTTGTGTGCAAATTGCTTGATTCGGTCATGTACTTTTCGTTGTGTTTTGCTTATAGTTTCTGTGTCTGGTTCAGCTATGTTTGTAACTGTGTTTTTGCCTGACTGCAATGTGCCCTTGAACTCAGACCATGCTGTTTGCTTGCCTGGGTGGAAAACAGAGAAGGGTGTGTGCAGAAACTACCCTGTTGTTCAAAGTTAAAGTGTGTATTCATTGTTCTCTCCACATTGGCCCCACTGACCAATGGCATGTGGCCCCCAAAATGTTGCCCAGAAGAGGATACAGCCTTTGGGCTGAAAGAGGTTCTCTACCCTTGCTCTAAGGGGATGGGCCATACCTTAGTGGTGGGGTGTCTGCTTTGCATGCCAAAGGTCCCAGGTTCAGTTCCCAACATTTCCAAGTAGGGCTGGAAGTGTCCCTGGCCTGGAACTCTGCCAGAACCACTGCCAGTCAGTGTAGAAAATACTGATCTAGATGGACCAATGGTCTGATTCAGTATAAGCTTCCTATCTTCCTAAGATCCTGCTTCCGCTTTCTACACTGTCCCTGAGAACAGTTTCCACCATGTTGTGCTGATGGTCATCTCACTTCTGTGGGCTCTTTTTCTGTGGACAGATCCTAATTTATATATACCAACAATTTCCATGAGTCCTAGCAACTTGGTTGCCTTTGGAGAACAAGTCACAATCAGGTGTGAAACTGGAAAAGAAGCCATGATGTTCTATCTCCATAAGGATGGAGACCCATCACTAAACTGGACCATGGAAACTGAATTATATCATGGTACATTGTCCATTCACAATGTCAGCTGGGACAACAAAGGGAGCTACAGCTGCAGCTATGTAGCAGAAAAAAGGCCAAAGGCGTTATCACTACAGAGTGACCCAACAGAACTCCTGATATCAGGTAAGGTTTCTGACTTGGCTATCTGACAGTGTGCCATACTATATTATTTGGTTTAACAGGTTCCTATCCAACTAAGTCGTACTCAGAGTAGGGCCCTTGAAATCAATGGACCAAAGTGAATCTCTTGCATTTCAGTGGATCTACTCTGAGTATTACTTAGCTTGCTATGACCCAAATTCTTTGAACCTTACTTAGTTAATTCTAAAATTGACATGAATCATGAAAAAATGCTACTGGGTACAAACTAGATATAAACAGGTACAAACTTGAGTACAAAATGAAGATTCAACACTGTTTTCCTGCTTCATTGCCTTTTGCAGCTGCCTCCATGTTCTGATCAGTGTGCGTTCTCCATTTTGTATGTTGCTGTGTGTTTGGAGAAGTGACTGCTTATTCACTTATTCCATAACTTCTTTATGGAATAGTTCTAGTGTTTATGTAACCTAAGCCTGCCTTCAGGGATATGTCTGTGAACCTGAATGGATCTGTGAGTAAACTACTTTTATATTAACGTTAATCAGATTCTTGTGTTTATTCCTTTTAAGAGGGATTGGAAAGGATTTTACCAGGAAGGAATCTTTAATAGTAAGACTCAAATGAGTCAGCAACAAGCTGATTGCTGCGTAATTTAAAAAGGGGGATGTTTGGAACTCTGCTAGAATATGGAACTTGCTAGAACTTGCTAGCCTCTCCTGCCTCACTAATCACCCCCACACTTCCAGCAGTTGTCTTGGAGGACCACCTAGGTAGACCCGTGTTCTTGAGGCAGTCCCTTAATCCCAGGCCTGACCCTGCTCAGCAGCCCTCCATTTGAAGGCTAAGAATCTATGTACACCAAATGCCTCAGCCAAAGCCTACCTACAACTGTAATCAATAAAAGCTAATTTTTTAAATTCCAGAACATTGTCTTGTGTAGTTTGCTACACCTAACAGTGTCTAGGCCTTTTCTCCCTGGGGCAGGAGTCACTGTGAGTGGGTCTGCAACTTGATTTATTCTTTTCATTTTCAGAGAGCGACCACACCCTGGTGAACATCATTCGCTTTGTCATAGGTGGTCTGGTCACTGTACTCCTTGGCTATATATTGACTTTGGATCGGCGTTTCCAAAGGGAGCATGTACACTAGGTGAGATAACTTGTTCTTCTCCAACTCAAGGTGCCTCTGTGGCATCTGAATATAGACTGCATTTTTAATCAAGGCATATATTGGCTTATATTTGATCAGGTTCCTAAATTAAATGGGCTTAGATTTTCAAATGTTTCATGACAGGCTGAAGACCAAGGTTACACAGACCCTACATAATTAGGAATGAGTAAACAGTAAAATAAAACCATGGGCCTCTCTTAAACTTGAGTCACAGGACAAAAGGTCAAGAGCACTTGGAAGAGAAAGCGACTGGCTGGAGAAGGGGGGGAAGTATGAACAGGGAAGAGGCTTCTTTTAAAATGGTTTTTTTACTGTGTTCCTTTTTACTGAGTTCTTTACAAAGGCTTTATTCTTTTAAAGAAGCTACCTGTGTTGTGTATTAAATATGCTGGCTTAAATGTAACTATGCAAAGGATTTAGAAAGTAACAAATTTAGATGTTAGATTCTTATTTCATAGAATCATAGAGTCCTAGAATTGGAATAGACCACAGGGGCCATTGAGTCCAGCCCCCTGCCAGACAAGAAGACGCCATCTGAGCAATTCTGATATATAAGTTGTCAGATATTTGTTTAGAAACCTTCAAATGAAGGTTTTCTTTCAATATTGATGTGAAACTCAAGATCCTTGACATATGTTTAAGATAAAAATTTAAGATTAACCATTTGTTTTAGAAGGCAATAGGGCAAGAGGTGAGCTGGTAATTAAGATTCCATGTAAGATATATTATTACTTATTTGTCATTTATATATAGCTCTTTGTCTCCCTTATAAGGACAGGAGGATATGAGTGTATTTTTGTGATTGGTTATACTAATCAGCCAATAGGAATTTCAACCAGGCTGATGGGACAGAGGCAGCCCAAGGAGGAGCAAAGGGGGCTGGATTAAGGGAATATAAGTGCTGGCCATAATGGCAGGAGGCAGGCCAGAGCTTGGTAATCATATACCACTGTGCCTCTCATTTATTTGTCTGACAAATAAATAATTATTTAATTTCTCTGTTGCTGCGTTGAATATTTCATTCCAGCTAAGCGTTAACCACAAGCAGGGTGCTACATTTTATGGTGCCTGCGACTCGGATCAGTGGTCTGCTGGAACGCAGCTCCTTCGCCTACTGAGCAGGGTACAAGACAGAGGATCACTCACTGCCTACTCAGCGCGCAATGGAAAATTTTTTTCCAGGGGAACGCAGCAGTCTCGTCTGTCTGATACCCTGCCCACCGACGGCGACGGACCGGGGGGGACCAGAGAAATAAACAGGGAACCAGCTAAGGGTAAGTGCACTAAGGGGTTTTGGCCCTCCAATTAATTGGGAGGAAGAGAAGTCCTGATCAAACTTCTGCGTCTCAGTAAAGGGGAACTGAGTACGCTAGGTGGCTGGGTACATCAGATGGTGATCTGGTGTAGGGAAAAGGGAAGTTGGGAGGTAGTGTGTGGTTAAAGTATCTAGCGCATTGCATGTGTGAGAAAGTACAATGTGTAGCTGACCTAAGTGTGGAGTGAGTGCTACTTCGTTTCCCAGTAAGGTGTGTGTGTGAGTGACTGAGTGGATACTTCACAGGGCCATACAATGGGAGTTGGGGGTTCAAGGGGGGGAAATACACCTCTTGAATGTATGTTAAATAATTTTAAGAAAGCCTTCTCAGGGGCATATGGAGTCAAAATGACGCCAGAACGCTTGAGAACGTTATGCGAACTAGAGTGGCCAAAAGAAATACTGAATGGCCATCTCAAGGAACCTTTGATATAAATTTAGTAAGCAAACTTTGGTCTAACATCACCAAAGAAACTGGAGGGTGCCCAGAACAATTTTCATATATAGATTCCTGGCTGAGCACATTAAATAAAAATCCTCCATGGATAAGGGAATGCAAAGTCCAACGATGCAAATTATTGGCTGTAAAAGCCGAAGCTAGGAAAGGAATCTTGCCAAATAAACTCAAACCCATTTTTGAGGGACCAGAGGAAGAGGTGCTTCCACCTCCACCCTATGCTCCACATCGAAGGGAGCCTAATTCGAACCCTCCACCAGTTGTAACCCCAAGGCAAGAAAGTGGAATGAATAATGGGGCTGGAGTCACAGAACTTGATTCCTTGATAGATTATGATAAATATCTTCAGGAGGCATTGGAGTCCTATAATGAAGCCCAAGCAGAAGTGGTTATTCCACCTGTGAGTCCCAGTAGAACTCCATCTACAGTCTCTTTTAGTGGAACAACTGATTGCCTACCCCAAACCCCTGTACATCTATTATTACAGAAGTTACAGGGAGACCCTAATCGGTCAGCAAACAATACAGCCAGGCGTATAGAGCTGCTAAAAGAACGCCTTGGGACAGATACCATCCCCTATGATTTGAGGCCCCTAGAGCAAAGCGAAGAAAAAGGTCACGTAGTAGCCCCTCTTAGAAGAGTATTTGATGCACTTGAGGAGCCTGTGCTGGTTAATGGGCAACCTGGACCAAGGCCACCTCGAACTTCGATCCTCCAGTACATTCACAACTACGGATCTGATGAATTGGAAAACACCCCATCTTTCGCAGAAAAACCTCAGGCTATGATGGACTTGGTGACTTCAATAATAAATACTCATAGTCCTACTTGGACAGATTGCCGCCAGCTCCTGAATACTCTGTTCACCACTGAGGAAAGGAGAGACATAATTGAAAAGGCACAGATATATTTGCGTGAGCAGGCCAGAGTGGGAAATATTTTTAATATTGACCGTCATCTCCAGGAAAACTTTCCCTTGGAAGATCCTAATTGGGATCCAAACAATGCAATTCACCTGGCCAGGCTTACCACCTACCGCCAGATGCTTGTGCAAGGTATCTGCAGGGCATGCCAGAAGCCCACTAATATGTCTAAAGTTTCAGGAGGGTAGATGTGTTACCCATAGCACTGTTTCGTGTTCGGTGTGCACCCACAAAAAGACTTAAGTTGTCACCTTTTGAGCTCCTGTATGGGAGGCCGCCCTCCTTTGTTCAGGATATTCCAACTGACCTCAAACAAATAGGAGACTATGAGACACAGGGACAAGTGCAATCTCTCTCCCGTGTTTTTGTCTCTCTCCTGTGTTTGTTTGTTGTTGTTTTTTTATCTTAACAGGTGGGCCCTCGAGCACGCCGTGCAGCATTGCCTGCCGATTCATCAGTTCCAGGCTGGCATAGCATATGGGTGAAAGAGTGGAAACGTGATCCACTTGCACCTAAGTGGCGTGGACCTTACACCGTCTTGCTCTCTACTCTAACAGCGGTGAAGGTAGCTGAGGTGACCCCCTGGATTCATCACTCCCGTTTGAAGAAGTCCGAAGGCAGTTGGACGTGCAAAGGTGACCCCTCTAATCCTCTTAAACTGACTCTCTCCAAAAACCCCTGTATCTAGCCCTACCGGGAACGGCTAGGTCACGGGCAACATTAGACGACCGGCCTGCTGCAGCCACAACTTGGAAGCTGGCTGACCTGCGCACGCCTGAAGCTTGAGGAGCGTCTGAACCAGCGACTGTGAGCGGGAAGATTCTCTTATACAATTGATTGACTGCCCCCTTGTGGAACAATTATCAGAGATATTACACATTGGGGATTCTTGGGATATATGTTTTGGTCTTGGTGGCTCCCCATTTCTGTCACTGGGGGAATTATATTGGGACTAATAGTTTTATGCTATCACAATAAGGTAATCTTTTGTGGAAGGAATGCATATGCTAGACATCAACATGATTTTATTATTAATCCTGATCCCTTGGGAAGGGGAGGGTCCTTGAATCTGACCAAATTTGCTAAATATGGATTCAGCCATGACCACAATATGTGGGTAGGCTTAGCTGCGATGGTAGGCAATGTGGCAAATAGGACCAATTGCCTTGTTTGCTCTCTTGGGCCAGATGATTCAGAGGGAGGTATGCCCTTATTACCAATACCATTAGATGCCATTGGTGTGGTAAGCGAAATGCCACACCAAACAGAAATACAGAATTTCCCCGGATGGAACTCAACTAAATCATTATGAGTTATACCTGTACAAGGGGAATTCTGTGTACATAAATCATCAGATGCAGCTGATTCTCCCATGGTAGGCTCTTCTCATTGCCACTATACTTGGGATTATATTAAGAATACCTGGGCACACGGTACTACCTATCGAACTCGGAATACCTTGCCCTGTGCACCTCCTTTTATTCATGCATGGAAAGTGGTATGGAACATAACTGTGACAGAAGAAGGCAATCTAACATACTGCACTGTGAACTCTATACCCCTTTTGATATTTCGCCTTATGCACTCCACATACCAAAAACCTCAGACCCGATGGTTGTGGTGGATATGTGGAGAATGGGCATACAAGAAACTCCCTTCCAAATGGAGTGGGACTTGTTTCCTGGGATGGGTATTACCACCAATGTGGATTTGCCCACTAGTTCAGCCAAGCGAACACGAAGAAATGCTGATATTTCTCGTATAGCAGGAGGAAGTACCCAAAGTTGGAGCGGTACTGATGATTGGCCGCCAGAGCGCATAATAGCCTATTATGATCCTGCCTCCTGGAATCCTGGAGAGCTCATACAAGGGGCACGGGATCCTATTTATAATCTAAACAGAATAATTCGATTACAAGCAGTAGTGGAACTTGTAACCAATGCAACGGCCCAGAGTTTGAGACTTATTGCACGACAGTTGGATGACTTGCCAGGCAGGGAGGCCTGTGTGGAGTCTTGAACTTGACAGGGAATGCCTGTTGCTTCAACATTTCAGATAATGGTTTTATGTATGGTGCCATGTATCATCTCATGTTTTAGGAATACAATTAGCAAGATGATTTCAAATGAAACTTTACCTCATATCATGGCACTATATAGAGCCTTACCTCAGGAATATGATGTAGATCAAGCTATCAAGGACGCTTGGTAGCCAGGTCCTTGAGCTTGAAAGGGGGGAATGTGGCATCTGAATATAGACTGCATTTTTAATCAAGGCATATATTGGCTTATATTTGATCAGGTTCCTAAATTAAATGGGCTTAGATTTTCAAATGTTTCATGACAGGCTGAAGACCAAGGTTACACAGACCCTACATAATTAGGAATGAGTAAACAGTAAAATAAAACCATGGGCCTCTCTTAAACTTGAGTCACAGGACAAAAGGTCAAGAGCACTTGGAAGAGAAAGCGACTGGCTGGAGAAGGGGGGGAAGTATGAACAGGGAAGAGGCTTCTTTTAAAATGGTTTTTTTACTGTGTTCCTTTTTACTGAGTTCTTTACAAAGGCTTTATTCTTTTAAAGAAGCTACCTGTGTTGTGTATTAAATATGCTGGCTTAAATGTAACTATGCAAAGGATTTAGAAAGTAACAAATTTAGATGTTAGATTCTTATTTCATAGAATCATAGAGTCCTAGAATTGGAATAGACCACAGGGGCCATTGAGTCCAGCCCCCTGCCAGACAAGAAGACGCCATCTGAGCAATTCTGATATATAAGTTGTCAGATATTTGTTTAGAAACCTTCAAATGAAGGTTTTCTTTCAATATTGATGTGAAACTCAAGATCCTTGACATATGTTTAAGATAAAAATTTAAGATTAACCATTTGTTTTAGAAGGCAATAGGGCAAGAGGTGAGCTGGTAATTAAGATTCCATGTAAGATATATTATTACTTATTTGTCATTTATATATAGCTCTTTGTCTCCCTTATAAGGACAGGAGGATATGAGTGTATTTTTGTGATTGGTTATACTAATCAGCCAATAGGAATTTCAACCAGGCTGATGGGACAGAGGCAGCCCAAGGAGGAGCAAAGGGGGCTGGATTAAGGGAATATAAGTGCTGGCCATAATGGCAGGAGGCAGGCCAGAGCTTGGTAATCATATACCACTGTGCCTCTCATTTATTTGTCTGACAAATAAATAATTATTTAATTTCTCTGTTGCTGCGTTGAATATTTCATTCCAGCTAAGCGTTAACCACAAGCAGGGTGCTACACCTCCTCTTTAAAAAGGAAACAAAGAAACCCAAATTGAGTTTTTTGGGGGTGCTTGGGGATTCTTGATGTTACAGAAGAGGCCACAGCTGGGTAGTATTGAGGGAAATATTTCTATCTTGTCTTTCAGGTGAAGTCTTCGGAGGTGGTTTCACATGTGTGCTACATTGGTCTTTGCCTGCCTGGTGCCTTCCAGACCAAACTACTGCTCTCATCAGCCCGCATGTGCTGTCTAAGGCTGCTAGGAGAACAGCAGAACTTGGAGGACCACTGATTCCTGTCTTTTCTTTACATGTTCCCAGATTCAAACAAAAGTTTTTTAAAAAACCAACCAAACAAAAAAAGATTCATTTTCAACTACATGGAAAAAAACATATTTTATATGTGAATGAAAATAACAGTATTCAAATGTCCCTTGTAAAATATGTTACTATTTGCAGCTATTAGTAACATCTTCAAGTGAGAAAATCATAAAATTGTTGAAGTCAACCGTGATGTTCCGGTGTTTGTGTAAATAGTATTGTATGTATATGTAATAATATTAGAGTTATATGAGGTACTGTAAATGTGTAGGCAAGCTTAGCTCATTTTTTTTAGTTGCTATTTTGTTAGTATTGTTTCTATTGTTTTATAGATTATATATGCCATATTGATTTGTTTATCCTATAGTATGACTTGTGCTGTATTTGTGATGTTTAGCTTATTAGTGGCTGTTTCATTAATAGTCTTTTATGGATTCTAATTGTTTTATTGATTGTTAATTATTTTACTATGATTTATACTGTATTTGGGAATTTCTGTTATGTTTTGTTATATGGCTGTTATTGTTTGTAAGCCTCTTTGAGATTCTTTTGAAAGAAAAGCAGCCTAGAAATACAATAAATCATGTCAAATCAATCAAATCAAGAATAATATGCAAATTAATGGCATTTGTTGTTGGGAGGTGGGTGCTTGGAATGTTGCTAGTGAATGGTGATTGGACAGAAGTTTTGAAAAAGGAGTTTGAATTCTTCTGGGGGACAGTTGAGAGAGGCAGTTGAGTTTGAAATTGAACTTGGAGTGACAGTTGGTTATGGATGTGGAGAGAGAGTATTTGGTGGGGAGCAGGGCTGGTATGATGGAGCAGGGCCAGTATTGTTTTAAATGAATCAAAATAACCAGATAAGATAAATAAAAAATGAAACCATGTGCTTCTCTACACTGTAAGTGATAAAACATTTTAATATTTCTGTTTTAAATAAATGGTACTGCACACACATGCCTCATCATCATCACCATCACCACCACAGGCATTGTGAATGCAGCAACAAAAAAAGCAACTTTTTTGGTTTGTGTGTTTTTAATTTTAATTTTTATGCAATTATATGGTTCTGTTCTGTTTTCTCTTTAATTCATTATGTCATTGAACTATATGGTTTTGGTTTTGAACGAATAAAAATAAACACGACAAAAACATCACTGGAATTGTATTTTTTTTATCTCTTTTGTAAGTTGCCTTCAATAAGTTCTCTCTCATAAAGGCAATCTATAAATATTTTAAGCAAACACAATAATAACAGCAATATTTCCCATTTTTTTCTTTGGTGCTTTAATATTTACTGACCTATTTGTTTAATCACATTCATATTCTGCCTTTCCTCCTAGAAGCACAAGGCTACAAAAACAGAACCATTCCCCCTCCATTTTATCCTCCTAACCACATTTTATGCTTTGTATGCAGAAAACCTGGGTTCAGGCCCAGATTCATTTGGACTAAGTTTAGAAATGAGAACCCTGCTTAAAACTCTGGAGAGTTATTACAGGCAATACGGAACTAGATTGCCCGAAGGTCTGCCATATATTATAATTTGTATACCACTTAATCATGGTCCTCTCTATAAGGCAGATCTCTGTGTTTCTGTTCTATAAGGTCTGTTCTATAAGGCAGATCTCTGTGTTTCTAACCCAGCTTGGTTAGCTAGGACTTACTATGGGGGAAGAAATCTGATTCAGTTCTCATATACAGGCAAACCTTCCAGATTCATGCTTTCTAAAACAATATGCAAACCAAAACACAGCCATCTTTTGAAATTCACACTTTTCAAGATATTGCAGTGCAGTGTAATGTGGACAAGAATAATTTTGCTAGGGTAAAGTTTGCATTAAAATGCATATACTAATGCAAATAACATCAACATTTTTATTATACTGTATATGGAAAAAACTGCATTGCAAAAACATGCCTTTTAAGCAAAATTGCATGCAAAGATGAAAAGGAGAAATTTGTACTAAATTGATGGATTTTCAAGAGAACCTGTTTTGAAAAAAGTTCTCTGACTGATGTGGGACTCTGGAGAGCTGTTACAAATGCGAAAATGAGAAAGAGGGACTAGCTAAAGCTGACGGAGTTACTCATTGCTAGCTAAGGCAGCCTTCCTGGCTTCCTACATTGTTGGTGAACATTCCGTAAGCAGTTCTGGTCTCTTCTTGGTACAATAATCAGCATGAAAGTAAGGGGAGCAGTGGCGAAAAAATATGTGGTATCAGATCATATGTGGTATGCAGATTGAGAGGCTTAAGGCAAAGGATGGAGTGGGTGATAAAATGATATTGCACATTTCCCATGCCCTGCAAAAGTAATCTGCAAACTAACTGAGAACATCAGTTTAAATAGACTTGGAGGCTGTGACATTGGAATCAGGACTTAAAGACTTCTGCTTTGCTTCATCATGAGACTTGTCCTCTTCATCCTCTTTTTCGGTGAGCAAAAAAAAACCAAGGATTTGCCCCAAGTGGGAAGTGAGAGAGAGAGAGAGAGAGAGAGAGAGAGAGAGAGAGAGAGAGAGAGAGAATATTTCAGCATGACAATAGTTGTCCAATCTCAAGCTTTGGCCTTCTTCCTCTTCAGGGCCTTCATCTCAAAGCTAGCCAACTAACATTCCTGCACATTTTGACTTCTTCTTGAGGCCCTCTTTCCAGCAGGAGATTGGGGAAGATGCATCACCATGCATTGCAGATGCACTTTTTTTTTAAGGGGGAGGAAAGGAGGCAGCAGTGGCAAAGCATGTACAACTTTTCATATTGGGCCAGCTCTGCCCATGGTGCTGCTGAGCATATGGTGCTGGCAGGAACAGCTGATCCCAGCCAGTGCTGCTGAATGGAGAGGAAGAGACAGACTGAGCCACAATCACAGGAGCAGTATAGTTGGAAAAAGGTCTGGGACTCTTTTGTTTGTGGCCAAAACAGAAGAGAGATCTGGGATTGGAGTTCCTACTGCTGAAGTTATTTACTTAGAAAAGCACTTCTTATCTTCACTTCGTTTCTCCACTCTAAACCTCTCTACCAGTTGCTAGATGTTCCACTCAGGAAGCTGTGCATTTGCAAGCCTGAGTGGTCCTACTCCAACTGCCTTTATCTAAAAAATGAAATGTTGTGCAATCCATTGGACCTCTTCCACCTTCTCTATTGTAGCATCCAGTGAGTATGAGGGAAATGGATTGGAGGGGAGAGGATGGTTGAAGTGTGAGATTATGCAACAGGGGAATGCGTATGCATGTGGTATATGCATGTAAGAAAGAGCTAGATCTCTCATTTCTTTGCATGAGCACTGAGTTCACTGTTGTGGGCTCAAAATCTGAAACCTGTAGTTAGGGGACTGAGGAAAGCTTTGGCCTACAGGCCATTTTCTCCAAGCTCCACCCACCTACACTACACCTGATGTCATACAGTATGTGAGACAGGTACAGATATGACTACAGTAGAACAATCAGAAGCCTACAGTGAGCTCCTGCTTGTTCCCTTGTGAGCAGGGCTCCCTTAAAGTGCTAAGCAGTTGACTAGGCAGAGAGACCTGCAAGAATTAACTGCACCCTTTTGAAGTAGTTTGCATTGAAAGCACTTCCGAAAACAGAGCTTTTTTCCCTCTGCAAGAAAGAAAACTCTTCATTTCAGCAAACCATTGTTTATATAGCTCTTAAATAAAGCACTGCCTATATGTGTTTACTACTGGGGATGGAAGGATATGGTGATAATCCTGCTGCTGTGGAATCAGTTCAGTTATTTATTTCTTCTTTCCAGGCTACCCTATAACTAAAGAGAAAAATGTTCCAGAAGGTAAGGACCCGACAAGGCTGGATAGAGTGGGGAAATGACTCCAGTAGCCTCAAACCTTTTAGATATCACATGCCTTCAGCATCTTTGACTTTCATTCTTTGGGGCTCTTCCAATCTCCAAGGTTTGACAGGCATCCAGCATTGCATGCAGATGCCTGTCATTCAGTCTGGTTGGCCACTCATGAAGTTTTGGGATTTTGATTGGGGAGGGCATGTTCTTCAAAGGCACTCTACATAGGGCATGTTGTGTGATTTCTCGAATCACATAGTTGATAGCATAATCACTGTCATTTTAAACTAAAAAATGGAAGAGAACACACACCATTCTAAGCTGGTTTTTAAAATATCTAAGGCGGCACTCTTGGCCACTACAGCCACATTCAGGGGCAGTGTCAGATCCAAAAGCCTATCCAAGCTTCAAACTTGAGTCCTCAGGGTGAGTGCAGCCGCACCTAAAACTATTTATACATCTACCCCAGAATCCCTAAGCACGTTCATCTTGTTTTGATATAACACACACACACACGCACACGCACTTATAAATTGTATCTCATGTAAAGTGTCAAGGCAGCATACCGCAATATAAATGCGATAAAATGTCATAAAAACAGTACAATATGTATTGCAGTGGTTCTGGTCCTTCCTGGAGAACAAGTCCCAGAAGGTGGTTCTGAGAGTATATTGGCAAGGTTCTTTCTTGCTTCCTGTGCTTATTACTTTCTGTGTGAGTGAGATTGTCTAGATATTTGGGCTCAAGTGCTGCCAGGGTGTCGAGGACACCCACCTCATCCTCTCACTCTGCCATCTGCTGCTAGAGAAGTAGTGGAAGTTCTTAGAGGGTATCTGGGGTGGTGGTGGCATGAACTGAATGAAAATTATGATACGTGATGCAAGAGAACCAATAAGGACACGATTCCCAGGTAAGGCCCCCCCCCTATTGTGTGGGCAGGTGGTCCCTCCCCCTACCTGGCCGATCCCCTGGCAACGCCTCCCCAGGTGGGATTGGGTAGCTGGCTGAGGTAGGCAGAGACCTCCAGGTATCCCACCTGGGGAAGGCGAAGCCAAGCCTGTGCTAATGGTGCCACATAGGGTCCAGGGGGCTGCGCGCAACCACATTTAACGTAGGGAGCCGTCATTCTCACTTCCAATGCTTGGCATAGGTTGGAACTGTTGGATTGTGTTCGCTTTCTTCACACAGCAATTTGCTTGGCTTGTAGGGATGAAAAATTTCCAGAGATAGGTTCTCTCTTGCAGAATCTCTAACCACCATCCTGCATACTGTTTTCTTTTTGTCGTCATTCCAGAGAGAATTTTCCATCCTCCACACATCCACATGAGCCCTAGCTGGATAGTCTCTCTGGGAGGAAATGTCACCATCTCTTGCTGGGTTCATTTAGACTGCTGGCTGGATTTCTTTCTGCATAAAGATGGTGCGAAAATAAACACCACCAGTGGTGGATATAAAAGAAAGGCACTGTTTCACATCAGTGATGTCACAAGAAAAGATGGAGGGACATATAGCTGTCACTACAGAATGCCACTGAAAACATACCGGTCAGAACACAGCAACTCCGTGGAGTTGTTTGTATTAGGTAAGAGGTCCAGCAATTGGCTAAGGGTGGAGGGGATTGTAACGTTGCGAGGGTTAAACTACACTTCCCAGAATCCTCTGAGGGAAGCCATGACTGTTAACGTGGTATAAATGTGATTTAGATGTGTGGAGTGGATATGACCAAAGTCCTGCTCAGCCTTATAAAAGATAATCCTGCTTCGTTAGTTCTAAACCTGATTCTACAGAATAGTGTTCCTACTTTTCTGGGGCAACCCAGTCAAATGGGCGGCATATAAATAATAAAATCATTATTTTCTCCTACCAAGAAACCTGTGTATTTTGCCTAAGGGCATAGACAGACCTACGTAACATCTGGATTTGGGGCCCTTCAGACTGGCAATTTATTGCAGGTGTACAGTATTTGTGACACTATAGTAGCATGTCCCATCACCTCCTGGCAAATAGAAGGGGAAGAAATGGAGGCAGTGAGAGATTTTACTTTCTTGGGCTCCATGATCACTGCAGATGGTGACAGCAGCCACGAAATTAAAAGACGCCTGCTTCTTGGGAGAAGGGCAATGACAGGCCTAGACAGCATTTTGAGAAGTAGAGACGTCACCTTGCCAACAAAGGTCCGTATAGTTAAAGCCATGGTTTTCCCAGTAGTGATGTATGGAAGTGAGAGCTGGACCATAAAGAAGGCTGATCGCTGAAGAATTGATGCTTTTGAATTATGGTGCTGGAGAAGACTCTTGAGAGTCCCATGGACTGCAAGAAGATCAAACGCATCTATTCTTAAGGAAATCAGCCCTGAGTGGTCACTGGAAGGACAGATCGTGAAGCTGAGGCTCCAGTACTTTGGCCACCTCATGAGAAGAGAAGACTCCCTGGAGAAGACACTGATGCTGGGGAAAGATGGAGGGCACAAGGAGAAGGGGGTGACAGAGGACGAGATGGTTGGATAGTGTTTTCGAGGTTACCAGCATGAGTTTGACCAAACTGTGGGAGGTAGTGGAGGACAGAGGTGCCTGGCGTGCTCTGGTCCATGGGGTCACGAAGAGTCGGACACGACTAAACGACTAAACAACAACATAGTAACATGTTTGTTGTTGTTGTTGTTGTTGTTGTTGTTTAGTCGCTTAGCCGTGTCCGACTCTTCGTGACCCCATGGACCAGAGTAACATGTTAGTGATGGTTTTATTCTCTTTTATTCTGTGGTGCATCTCAAATGATACCACATTATTGCTGTCCAGACTAACTATAGTGCCACGAAAGCAGGACAAAAGACAAAAAACAAACCCAGAACATTTGTAGTGTTCTCTATGTTAACTGTGCTCAGAATCCTACCAGGGTCATAGATGAGCTTGTTTTCAATCCTGTTTGTGCCTGCAGAAGTTTTGAGACAGTCACACTGTTCTGCCCTCACAAGGGTCCGTTAAGTTGCAGAGAGACATTCTGGAGACTGATGGTGTAACACTCCTCGAGGATATCTATCACCAAAGGACATCTTACAAAGATCGCCTCACCACCATTACTGCGCAACCAAGATTAATAACTGACCCTTGTGGGGGAAGAACACACACTGCTTCATTTTCAAGTCAGTGCATATCCTGTAAGTGCCTGCTGAAACCCCTGGTTTATTTTTGTCCCACTTTGGTTGTGCTATAGCCCCTCTGGACAGCAGTCATTCAGTGGAACTGGGGCATTAAAGCTTCAAAGAAACATCAGCTTGGAGAGCCCCCCCCCAAGCAGAATTTCAGCAAGTTACAGAACATGCACTGATTGGAAATGAAGCAGTATGGCCACCCAAAAACTGTTGCAGCTGCAAACAGTATTGAAAATGGGCTCACGTATTACCAACCCAATAGCATCATGAGCACAAATGATCATGGCTATTCAGTATATTAAAAAAAGGATGTCTGGAGGGGTCTGAGGAGTGAATGAACATGAAAATGGCCTAAGATTAGACCAGGAGAAACTGACTCCTGGATTATTGGGCTCGGGGAGTAGAGAACCTGAGAAAGGTCTCTGTGTGAGATTATCAAAGATTATAAGGTCAAAAATCATATGCCCTTCTTCCCAGAGGCCTTTTGTGGTACAAACTGAAACCTGCATAGCATACGAATGTCTGCTACTTCCTTCCATATTCTATGCGACCTAGTGCAGATTCCATCTATCAGCCAACTTTTCCTCTATGCCCCCATCTCCCTGCCATTGCTTTGGTTACCACCAAGCAGACAGACAAAGTGTGCTGAGGAACCCAAAATCTTCCACACCCCTTTGTGACATTTTGATTGGCCTAATAAAGATTCTTGCCCAATATGGTTTCTGGATGTGTTTCCCCCCACCTTGTGGACCAACATATAGACCTTTCTATTTTGGCAGCCCATGTTCATTTGCTTCATGGACTTCAAAACCATGGCTATTTTAAACCACCAGATCCTTGGGTCAGCTTGGGTGGATACCTGTGAAGCTCAGGGACATTTAAATGGTGTTGCCCTCTTTTTTACTCCAGTGACAAAGTGCAGAATTGGGAGGTGTGCTGCCAAATACAACAGTTCTTTCCAAGGATATCAAGACAAAAGCAATGAGGAGGTGGAAGGGGAACCAAAACAGTTTTATTAACAAATAAACAGCAGGCATACAAAGCATAAAATAAAACATACCCGACAGGGGCTACCTAATCTCCCCTTCAGCTGCCCGGAGCCCCAGGTAGAGCAGCAGAAGAAAGACCCCGGCCATCAGTCTCCCAGCATCAGGTCCTTTGATCTGGGTAGAAACTCACTGGGCCCCTCCCACCTATGGCTTTTATAGCCTGCCTTGATGTAATCAAGTGCACCTGGAATTACTCATGATGAATACAGAGCTGCTGAGAGTCTCCCACTACCTGCAGCCGGCATCCAGCCAGCACTTGCAACACAGAAGAACCCAAGAAACCCCCGACAGGTGTTTGAAACACAAGAATCCAGCAGACCTCAAACTGGGGATGTTAAAGGGAAAGGAACTACTTTGGCAAAGTTCTAGGCTATACCCTGACACTCATTTGGGACTTGGTAGTTTGGGAGTCCTGAGAGCGGCATATGCTGGGCAAACGGATGGGAAAGGTGTGATAGCAATCAGTGTGATTTATTTGGTTGGAGCTGTGGATTTGTGCAATGACAGGTGATTTTGGCCAAAGTGCATCATTGGGAATGTTGCTGAAACACATTTTATTCCCCAAAATTTCCAATGCAAAACCAGCATTTCAGGGTCTAGCGATGCCTCTAACTCACCCAATTAAGATACACTGAAGCAGATGACAAGGGGTAGTTGAAACCAAGTGGTTACACTTTCAAAAAAGGCATATTTCTACCCATTACAGCAGGGATGTGAAATCTTTTGTTTTAAACTTTCTTTCTTTCTTTCTTTCTTTCTTTCTTTCTTTCTTTCTTCCCTTGATAGTTTGGGCTAAAATTAATATAAATTAATGATTCCTGTATGTTTTCTGAGCGAAGTTATAACTGTACAACAGAGGGAAGTGCAATATCCCAAATGTACCTCTCTGGCCTGCGACTGAGGACTGGAACCATCTTAAAATGGTTGTGATCTCATTTCTGCTTTCCTTATTTCTGTATACAGATCCCAAGTTACCCATACCTGTCATGTCCATCTACCCCAGTTCGTTTGTTTCCCTGGGCCACTCAGTCACCATCCAGTGTAAAACTGAAGAAAGATCTGCAAAGTTTTTTCTCCATAAAGCTGGAGACCCAAAACCAAGGTTTCTCACAAGCCCAAAGTCAAATGAGGGAGAGCTTTCCCTGAACATCAGCTGGGAGGACAAAGGGAGCTACAGGTGCAGCTATATACCTCAATCAAATCTTTTCTTGCACTCACGCCACAGTTCCCCCTTGCAACTTCCAGCAACAGGTGTGTAACATCTAACTTGCCCTTTTCTGGCTCCCTGTAGCTTCTCATTGTCCTTGAATTGTTAGTTTGTTAATTAATTACTTAATTACTTAATTACTTGAAGTCAGGTATAAGCAGCTGGAGGAAGAGGAGGAGGAGAGGATAGAGAGTGAATAAAGAGTTGTTAATGGATGGGGGCACTCTCTTCCCATCCTTTGGACCCCCCTGGGAAACTCAACAAACCTGCTGTACCTGGAACTGGGTGAAGAAAGTGCAGCTGAATGGGACACAGCTGTGGGCAGCTTGAGGAAGTACCTGCCCATAAAAAGCAAGTCTAGAGTGAGGAACTGGGGTGATGCCCTCTGTTTCCAGCAACTCTTCTCATTGCGAGACCTTTGTGGGTGAGCTGAGAGTTTCTTGGACCCTGGATGAGAGCCCAGAGGCTGAGAGGGAGCTTGTTTTAGAAGGAAAATGAATTGATACTGATTTATATATATTAGTAACTATGTATTAATGTAACACTTTTACATGTATAGTAACTGTATTTTTGTAATATTTTGTTTTGTTTGTCCTGGCTTTAGTTTTCCATGCACAGTTTACAGATATTTTAAATGTATTAAGTGGTACAGTGGTACCTTGGGTTACATACACTTCAGGTTACATACGCTTCAGGTTACAGACTCCACTAAACCCGAAATATTACCTCGGGTTAAGAACTTTGCTTCAGGATGAGAACAGAAATCGTGGTCTGGTGGCGCAGCGGCAGCAGGAGACCCCATTAGCTAAAGTGGTGCTTCAGGTTAAGAACAGTTTCAGGTTAAGTATGGACCTCCGGAACGAATTAAGTACTTAACCCGAGGTACCACTGTATAGAAATTAAATGATCAATCAATCAATCAATCAATCAAGATGGGTAGTGAGATCCTGTACAATCGTTATTCTATAAACCACATTTCTGTGCCGCCAAATCCAAATTGTGCCTAGTCCAGGATGGTGAAGGAAAACCCCCACACTCAGGCACACTTGCACAGGCCAAGTCATCCTCCCCTGAGAACCCACATAATTACCCCCCACCGCATGCATTCTGCCTGATAGGCTGAGTTTATAAATTAGCATTCCACCAAACATCATTGTCCCCTTCCCCTCCTCATTCCTCTGCCTCCCCACCGAAAATGACACACATTCTGATTGTGTGCTCATAGTCCAGGAAAGCTGAATGAGGAAAATCCAAGCCCATCTATCTCCTTGCTCAACTCTGAGTCCAATCAAGGGTGGGCCAAAGGGATCCCAATTTAGTTCTCCCTGGCCACAAAAGAAACAGCCAGTACGGCAATGCCAAAGTGTGCTGGTCCCGGGGGGGGGGGTGCATTAATGTGCGGCATGGTCCGTGTCCGGTCCAAGGCTGAAGCGGGGTCCAAGGCAGGGAGTCGGGTGTGGTCGGGATCTCTGGCAGAAAGCAGGACAGGGTGCCGGCAAGAACAGGTAACCAACAATGTTGCTCCCGCAACCTGGGACTGGGCGGGCTGGCCGTTATCTCCTCTGAGGCATAGGGCGGCCCCGGTCCACAGGTGACTCACCTTTCCTGGCCTGGAGGCGAGCACTCCTCCTGCGAGAACTTAGTTCCCTCCGCCTCTCTGCCCTGAGCCTCTGCAGCTCAGGAGAGGCTGGAGGGTTACTGGACCCAGAGGCAACCTCACCTTCCCCTGACAGGGCTCGGAGAGGAGCACCTGCAGGCAATGGGTCCTTGATCACCTCCAGAGCCAGAGCGGATTCAGCTGGTGTCTGTTCCTGAGGATCCGGCACAGGTGAGTGCCCTTCAGGTTCAAGCCCCTGCCCCGGCTCAGCCGGCCTGGAGGCGGGGACTCCTGTGCAGGCTGGGATTCCTCAGGTTCAGCCTCTGAATCAGATTCCCAGGCCATCACACAAAGACAGGTTTGGGGAATCTCTTTGTCTCCAAAAGTTGTTGGACTCCAACTCACATCAGCATGGCCAAAGGTCCAGGATGATGGGAAATGCAGTCCAGTAGCACCTGAAGGGCCACAGGTCCCCAAGCTTCCACTTTAAAGCAGAGGGGTAGCATGAAGAGCTATCGAGGTGATTGCTCCAGGTGCAAATATTTTAGAGGCGCACCTCTGTAGCTGCCTCTCCAACTAAAGGCTCTCCCCGTCCTGCTCACCCACTTCACCTGACCAGCACACCAAGCAGGAACTGGGGGACGATGGGCCCTTGGTCATCTCTCGGCTGCACAGTGTCCCTGGCAGGGGAGGTCAGTGGACGGCAAGACTCGCGATGGTGGTGGTGATGGCACCCCAGCCTGAGGAGGAGCGCGCGCATATCTGGCTGCTGCCCCACAGCTTTGTCCAGCAGCAGCAGCGCCACATGGATGCGCTGGTTTGGGAGCGCAATACTTTCCTTTCCCTGGGTGCTGCAACCCACGCTATGCCACTGCTTTAAAGGCTGTCTGCAGCCCATGTTATCTATCGATTTACTGCGTGCCAATGCAGAGAGGAACAGTCACCCATGGTGTCCTTGGCGAGTACATTTGTAGATGGCTGCTTAAAAGGTAAAGGTAAAGGTACCCCTGACTGTTAGGTCCAGTCGTGGACAACTCTGGGGCTGCAGAGCTCATCTCACTCTATAGGCCGAGGGAGCTGGCGTTTGGTCATGTGGCCAGCATGACTAAGCCGCTTCTGGTGAACCAGAGCAGCGCATGGAAACACCGTTTACCTTCCCATCAGAGTGGTACCTATTTATTTACTTGCACTTTGGTGTGCTTTTGGACTGCTAGGTTGGCAGGAGCTGGGACCGAGCAACGGGAGCTCACCTGCTGATCGGCAAGCCCTAGGCTCTGTGGTTTAGACCAGTGTTTCCCAACCGGTGTTCCGCGGCACACTAGTGTGCCGCGAGACGTTGCCTGGTGTGCCGTGGGAGGGAGGCGGGCGAGTCAGGCGGCGAGAGGCGGGGCGGCGGCGGCGAGGATCCGCGTCGAGCCGGGGGCGGCTCCGCGGTGGTGGTGCCGAGGTTTCTCTCTCCATTCTCCCCTCACACACACACACACAGGAAATAACACAGGATCAGCTGACAGGACCCGGCCAATGGGGCGGCGGCGGGGCAGCGCGCGCAAAAGGGAGGAGCGCGAGACGACGGCGGCGCAGGGCGGGAGGGCGGCGCATTGCGCGTGCTCAAACCCGCCCTCCGAGGCGCAGAGGGGAGCTGGGCAAGCGCCTTCTTCAACCACGCGCTCGTTTAAAGAGGCAGCGCCCGGGCGGAACAGAACTCTGTGCCTCTCGCCTAGGGATGAAGGCGGGCACCGGCTTAAGCCAGTAGTAGCCTAATAATGCATTAACTTCCGTGGGACTTCCAAGTAAACACAGTAGCCCAGCGCCTCCCTCCCCAAAAGGAGGGGGAATTACAGCAGCGCAGGCGACTCCTGCGTCTCCCCGATATTTAAGGCTGCCGTCCCTCGTGCACACTTACGCGGGAGCAAAACCCGGTGAACAAACTAGGGCTTACTCCAGAGTAAATACGGGTAGGATCTGGCTGCAGTTGTACAAGAAGAAGCAATTGATAACGTTTTCGCGCCTTCGGGATTGCCTTCACGCCTTCCTCCTCCCGGGTCCTTGAGAGCGCGGGAAGCGGCAGCGCGAGACCGGCGTTGAGCCTGGTAGGTATTGCGCTTGCCAAGGCAGTCATTTGGGAAATGAAAACTTGCAAAGCAAGCAACCAGTTCAATCTGAAGTACGTGTATGCTTAATATCCTGTATCTGAAACCTGTTCTGCCCCCTCCCCCACACTTGGTGCCATTTTCATCTACACATGCAGCAGAGTAAGTTGACCCAGAATAGTACCAATTCAGATGGGAGAATGACAGTGCTGAATTCTTTCCCATGTAGAACAGTCCCTGCAAATAAAAACCTAGCATATTTGGAAGAGGGATGCTAGCCTAACCATTACCTTCTATGCTGTTACTATTTTTTTATTTTTTTTTACATAAGTAAAAAGTGACCTTTCCCCATCTGGCATGGTGGTGTGCCTCGAGATTTTTTTCATGAAACAAGTGTGCCTTTGCCCAAAAAAGGTTGGGAAACACTGGTTTAGACCACAGCCCAACCCGCATCCCAGATGGCTGCTTAGTTAAGGCTAAATGCACCATCGACTGCCAAAACTTCTCTCACAGCTTTAAGAGAAACTGCTCAGATGTAACACTCAGTCTTTAGTGTGCCCAGAGAAGACTCTGTTGGCAATTGCTGGGGGGGAGGGGGAGAGACACAAATTATCATGTAACAATGTGAATAATATGCCAGCCATTTCTCCTCCTTTGTCATCCAAGCAGTTTTACGGGTAGAAGAATTGACTTTTTTTTCTTGAAAGATGAGTGCACTCCTTTGTGGATCCTTGGTCAGATGTGTGGGGTATAATCTCCTCACTTAATGTTGGATTTTAATCTTGTTTTTAAGTTGTATTCATTCAACTCGTTTTTATTATTTGTTGTTAGCCGCCCTGAGCCCGGCCTTGGCTGGGGAGGGTGGGGTATAAATAAAATTTATTATTATTATTATTACCTAGAGCACAGCTTACCCAAACCAAGCATCAGCCTGAGTCATGATGAAGAGGTCACCCTAGGAAGTAATGTGACGATTGATTGCAGAAGCAATGGCACTGCTGTCAGGTTCTATTTTCAAAAGTATGGAGTTGCGAAGCCTGTTCAGCTCATCCAAAAAAATGGAACTGTTGCCAAGTTCTCCATCAGCAACGCAAGCTGGGAGCACTCGGGATATTACAGCTGCACATACAGCGCCCTGCCAGATTGCTTTGCCATCTCAGAACCCAGCGATGAGGTGGAGTTACAGCTAACAGGTAAAAAAAATCTGGTTTTGCATGCATCTGCTTCCCAACCCAAAGTCCCATTCATCTTTGGTTGGTTTCTTTTTTAAAATTAATTGAATTTTAACTGCAGCTATGACTGCTGGGTGGGGAAAACGTGCAAAGAGGAAGGTACGCTTGGCAAATCCACACCGTGATCAGCACCCGTCGAGAAACCAATGTCCCCACTGTGGAAGGACGTGTGGATACAGAATTGGCCTCCACAGTCACTTACGGACTCCTTGTTAAAACTGTGTTTACGGAAGACAATCTTACTCAGCTATGAGTGATTGCCAAAGAGGAAGAGTTAGTTGTGGCAAACTGTGATGAGGCTTTTTGTACAGGGCAGCTATAGAACCATGGAAATCCTTTACTTGAGGGTATATGAGAACATTAGAAATTATTATTACTACTATTATTAATTATTTTATTACCACCACCACTGCTACTACTTTGATGCTTGTTACATGAAGGTCTCCAGGCAACTTACAACACATCTAAAACAGTAATATAAATATAACACAAAATATAACAGGAAGTTTGCAACACAACAGCTTGAATTCCCTGAAAAGCCTCGCTGGATCAGGCCAGTGGCCCATCTAGTGCAGCAACCTGTTCTCATAGTTGCCACCAGATGACTGTGGGAAGCCCAAAAGAAGGAGCTGAGTGCAGCAGCAGCAGCAGCAGCAGCTCTCACCACTGGTTCTCCAAGATATACTGCCTCTAATAGTGGAGGTTCTCCAGTGGGGAAAGCATTTGGGAGCACAATGAGGTATTCATTTTAAAACAAAAAACCCTCATTGTTTACACACACACAGACACACACACACACACACACACACACACACACACACACACGTAACATTGTTGTAACTTGCCCTGGATCTTAAAATGAAGGGTGGGTCAGCAATCCAAATTATTATTATTATTATTACCACTACTACTACCACTACTATTAAAAACATTTCCAAACTCTTGAACTTGAGGCATCTTTGGCAAAACCCTAGGCTAAGTTCCAGCGTACACACAGGTAATTTGGGGGGTCCTGAGGCTGGATCCTGTATACAAGGAAATGGGGACAAAAAAGCAATCTCAGTAGAGTTAAGGTGAATCAGATGGAAAAACTTCATATATGTTAGGTAAGGTAAAGGGTAAAGGGGCCCCTGACCATTAGGTCCAGTCGTGACCAACTCTGGGGTTGCGGCGCTCATCTCACTCTATGGGCCGAGGGAGCCGGCGTTTGTCCACAGACAGCTTCCGGGTCATGTGGCCAGCATGACTAAGCCGCTTCTGGTGAACCAGAGCAGCGCACGGAAACGCCGTTTACCTTCCCGCCGGAGCGGTTCCTATTTATCTACTTGCACTTTGACGTGCTTTCGAACTGCTAGGTTGGCAGGAGCAGGGACCGAGCAACGGGAGCTCACCCCGTCACAGGGATTCGAACCGCCGACCTTCTGATCGGCAAGTCCTAGGCGCTGTGGTTTAACCCACAGCGCCACCTGTGTCCCTCTTCATATATGTTAATGGTGGATTATTTGAGATGATGTGTGAACTGTTATCTCTGCTACTTCACAAACTAACATCTGTTTGGAAAAAGGCTAGTTGCAGCTCCAGCATCTCACTCACAACCTTTTCTCAATTGCAGATCCAGACCTAGCCAGACCCACCATCTCCCTGAGTCCCAGAGGGCCACTTCCTCTGGGGGGAAATGTGACCCTCAATTGCCAAGGCCAAGGTGTCCGATTCAAATTTTATAGGCATAGAGAGAATTTTGTACCACCGCTGTTGAAGAACAATTTGGATGGCGCTCACCTTATCATCAGCAACCTGAGCAGAGATGATGCAGTAGGATACAGCTGCAAATGCAGCAGTATATCAGAAGTCTTTTCAGTCTCTAGTGAAATAGTGAAACTGCTGATCTTAGGTAACATAAAGAGTTTTCTCGTGTTATGCTATCTCTGGGGGAAAGTCAACTTTACCTGGGTTTAGTTACATGTGATAAACAGTCTACCAGGGGAGAATGTGAGCTGTTCTTCATGTTAAGCAGAAGGCATGGAGAGGGTGAGAAAGGACTGAAACAGCAGAGAAGTACCAGCAACAACCACCTCAAAGTCCCATGCACATTTACTGAGAAGTAAGTCCTTTTTTGCTGACAGGCAGACCTTATAGGAACTAAGGACCAGGTGTGCAGCCTGGGAGTCATTTTGGACTCGCAGCTGTCCATGGAGACGCAGGTTAATTCTGTGTCCAGGGCGGCTGTCTACCAGCTCCATCTGGTACACAGGCTAAGACCCTACCTTCCTGCGGACTGTCTCGCCAGAGTGGTGCATGCTCTAGTTATCTCCCGCTTGGACTACTGCAATGCGCTCTGTGTGGGGCTACCTTTGAAAGTGACTCGGAAACTGCAATTAATTCAGAATGTGGCAGCTAGACTGGTGACTGGGAGTGGCCGCCGGGACCATATAATACCGGTCCTGAGAGATCTGCATTGGCTCCCAGTACGTTTCCAAGCACAATTCAAAGTGTTGGTGCTGACCTTTAAAGCCCTGTATACCTGAAGGAGTGTCTCCACCTCCAGCGCCTACGGCCTTCTGGTGGTTCCCTCGCTGCGAGAAGTGAAGCTACAAGGAACCAGGCAGAAGGCCTTCTTGGTAGTGGCGCCTGCCCTGTGGAACGCCCTTCCAGCAGATGTCAAGGCAATAAGCAACTATTTTACTTTTAAAATACATGTGAAGGTGGCCCTGTTTAGCAAAGTTTTTAATGTTTGATGCTGTATTGTTTTTAATATTTGGTTGGAGTGGCTGGGGAAACCCAGCCAGATGGGTCGAGTATAAATAATAAATTATTATTATTATTATTATTATTATTATTATTATTATTATTATTATTATCTAACCTTACACTGAAAAATAGTTTTGTCTGTTAAACATACCATATTTTCCTGTGTATAACACGACCCCATGTATAAGCCAACCCCTATTTTTGGGAGGCCTCAACAGTTGTTGAGCTTCTTTTGTAAGTTTGCTGAGCTGTTGAGCAACTTTTCGACAATCCTCTGCTCTGGTTGATAGAACTGGTGCCATAATACACCGCATACTGGCACTCATCAAATACTCTTCCAAAGCTGGGAAGAGTGGGTAAGCAGCCTCCTTGCTGACATAGCCCTGCTACCGCCGCAGCACCAGCCCTCAGTTACTTAGCATATTAACCTGTGTATAAGACGACCCTCAATTTATCACAAAAGAATTCAGAAAAAAGGTCGTCTTATACACAGAAAAATGTGTTATGTCTTTCCAGTCATGGTTCCAAAGGACTAGATTGTGCTGCCACTCAATGACAATTTAATTATATGCGCACATGGAGTTGTGGTCCTGTATTTCAGATTGGATTGGATGCCCAGTTGGCATTAGTGGAACCTGTGGTGTCAAACATATGAAACATATGGAATTCTCACTTCAGAATTGCTTGCCTGTGGCCCATCTTGCTGTGTTTTTAGCACCAAAGACCTCTTTATTCTCCTTGGCTCTTCTTCATTTAAATCTATACTCTGTGATGAGAACATGCTGTTGTTATCTATCTATCTATCTATCTATCTATCTATCTATCTATCTATCTTTGTGGTTTTTAAGCTAGCCCCCAAACATTTATATTGAAGCATACAAACCTATTATATGAATAAGAAGAGAACAACATCTCCTGATGGCCAAGAACTGGACCTAATTGTTTGGCGGTTGACATCTCACTTCCTGTTTCCTTTTATGCACAGATTCCCCATTGTTCGCACCTGTCATTTCCATCCAACATGAAGGATGTGTTGCACTTGGAGGGCAGGTCGAGATCAAGTGTGAATCTGATTCTGAAGATGTGAACTTCTCTCTTCACAAGACTGGAGACACAAATCCTATGCTCATGAATGGTCACTTTTATGTGGGTGAATTTACCATCAGCAGTTTACACGGGAGCATGAAGGCAACTATAGCTGCATCTATGAAAGCACAGAAGAGCCTTTTATGATTTCAGCACCCAGTGTTTCCCTGGAGATCCTGATATCAGGTATCGTATCAGGCTTTGGTTTAGGAGGTCTTTGAAGCTTAATTGAAAATTCCAGTAAGCTTCAAAACATGCAAGTCTCAGTCACATTGGGCTTAGTATGGTGGAGAGAGGCATTCTTATGTGCCTTTAACATCAGGCTGACAGGAGTTAATAGCAGATAAATGTTTTTCTAACAGGAAGATTGATGGTTGGGGAAAACAGCTCCTATTGGGGGATTATGCACATTGGCAAGCGAATATACAAAATTCAGTCAACATATGCAGATTCCCCAAGGTCTGTTGGAGACTTACCATAATGACCAGAGAGTGTACAAAATTCAGACACTATATACACATTCCCCAAGGACTGTTGGAGATATATTGATTGGGAAATGTGCTCAATTCCCTCTTCATGGACAGATTACATGCACATTCTTCATGAAGCCTGGTGAATATATATAATGGTTGGTTGTTATGCACATTAAACTGCTCGGCGTATATTATATTTGTTAACCAATTAGAGAGTTTAGTGGGGTTTTTGTTTTGTTTTTTGTTTTGCAATCAAGCAGTATACAAATTATGCTAAATAAAATAAAATAACAATGTACCCTTAACATGCCACCTCATAATCCAGATCTTGATTTCTCATCTCATTGCAGATACCTATAATTGCACCCAAGTCAACATCATCCGCTTTGCCATAGGAGTTCTGATTCTTCTTTTGCTTACATGTATCATTCTCAGTAATCAGCACTTCAGAGAGAACATGATAAATATCTCCTGATATGCTTCCTTTTCCTTTACCAACAATTGCATCCCAAAAGACAAGAGGAGTGCAGTTCAGTGGCACAGCATATGAATTGGTTGTACAATATCCTAGGTCTCCATTATCCTCAACGCCATCATTCCTTTTGTGCACAGGATATCTATTTGAAAACTCAAAATGCTACCACCAATGGCCCAGGTCCAAACATGGCACTGAGATTCCTCAAGGGCAATGAGCTTGGTCTTCCTCAGATTTCTACTGCTTTCTCCCACAGAGTCCACTAAAAGTACCAGTTCCAGGAACCAAAGTCGGCACACTTCATATTTTCAGCAGAATACATTTTGAATTACAGCAGAATTGCATCCTGATTTTGATGTGCAACATTCCTAGAGATGTTGCAGTTGTTGGCTGAGAAGCAAAGCAAACACGGCTTTGCTACTGTATGTAGCCTGATGACAAGATGATTTTTCTCAAGAAGTATGACATTTGGGGTCCACTTTGGTAAATCTTAGATATACCAGAGGAGTTTCTGTGTAAGACATGCCAAGAAGTGAACTTCATCTCCCTTTGGCCCTGCACTCAAACCATGAAATGAAATGATTTTTCTACTTATGCTTTCTAGCAAAAGGATGTTGTCAAACTTCTGGTTCATAATCCATTAGGTTCAAACTGACCAGCCCTGCGTCTTAATGCTAAGAACACCTTTGTGTTCTTTTCATTCAATTAAACAGTCACATTGCCAAGGCAGAAGACAGGTGTCACTGTTTATGGAAATGTGTTTATTCTGTGTTTCTTGTTCTGTTGCTTTTAGCAGTTTTCTGTCATTTTAATGGAAAAAAATGTGCACGAAGATTATAATAAAGATAAGATTTCCTTTTACCAGTGGGTAGTATAGTCTCTTTGTTGAATTGTGGGTTATATTTGGTGATATAAAACGGCCACCAGTAGGGCCTTTTCCACATAACGTCCCTCAGAATGATGCTACATCATGACATAACAACATTGCAGATTTTGGGGGGATTTCAAAATGGCAGCTGACTGGTTGGAAGCACTGTGGGGGATGTTGGTAAGTTTCATGCTCCTGTCCATGAAATCCTCCCCATGTATGGCTGGAGGCAGGGGTTATTCTTAGGCTACCCTACCTCCACATTTTCAGGAAGGGAGTGATCTTCCAGTTCTATCATCACATTGCGTGCCCAGGCCGAGACCCCCGACCCAAGAGCCACCTGGAAGAAATGAATGACTCATGACAACGTGGGACAATTATGGGATTAATTTGGCCACAACTTTATTTAAACTTTCACATGCAGGAAGACCTTGGCTTAGGCATTGGGCGTGTATCCCTCCCAGTCCCCAGCCGGGAATTTGGGGCACATCAGGGTAATCAGGTCTGTCTGGGAAGTGGGCTGGCTCTGGAAGACATTTGTTTACACAGAGTGCCTGTCTCCATTTCACCGCAACACTGGGGAGTGCACTGACAACCTTTCAGCGTATGGCCAGTGACTCCCCTCTGACTGGGAACCCTGGGATCGCTGCTGCACGGGGGGGGGGAGGCATCATGCCCCCTCCCCCCAGTTTAGGGAAGATAGACTAAAGGATTCCGCCCAAGGCCTAAAACCGCCAATGTTGTGACATTTGCTACGGGGAAGCCGAAACCTGCCAATGCAGGGAAATTCCTTCCTGGTCCCTTAACAGCAACCATCCTAAGACCGTAGCAACGTCCGCATACCTGTAAAAGAAGTTAACCTGTAATAAAAGAGCATAAAACAAAGGGAGGGTAGGGCGGGTGAAGCTCTGGAGCTGACTATGCGCTCTCAGGTGGGCTCCACCCCTTTTTTCTATGTGAAGAGCTCCACCCCCCCCACCACAGATAGGTTCATTAGAACTGAGGTTTGGTGGGAACCTCAAAGGGCTGTGAAGTGGGGAGGCGGACCAGGAACTTCTGCCGTTGTCTCAGAGATCGGGGTGCTGTGCGCGGCCACGCAAAGGGCGCCCTCCAGTTGATGGGAGAGCGGTCACTATGGAATCACTTGTTGCTGTTCCTTTGTACCTGCACGACTTACTTCCCTTCCTCTGCTTCCTTCCCTCACACTGTTCTAGGGACAGAATGTAGTACCATTACATGCTTGTGCCAACTCTTTGACATCACCATAGATGCCATCTCCAGGGGGCCCTGTATCAGGTGGCAGAGGAACCAACCCCCATGGCAGGTTGCCAGGAACAGATAAGACAAGGAAAAGTCCTCACCATCTGCTTGTTATTCAATATTCACAGAGACAGGCTTGGGAATGCAGCCTCTTGGAATAATGGAGTTGCCCCAAGTGACTCTCCACCCCCTTTTCTCCCACTTCATCATTTGCCACCTTTCCCCCTACAGGTGGTGCTGAGGGCCCTCTGCTTCTGAGCCCTTTGCTCTACTACTTTCAGTGCTCACTGGGTTCTGGGAGGCGGGGTCTGGAATGCTTGCTAAAGACACTGTGTCCATCAGCTGTTTCCCTCCTCTTCCTACCCCTCTCCCGTTATTTCCCAGCTTTCCCCTTCATCTGCCTCTGAGCTGTGACCTTCCTCAAACCCGTGTTATAATTCTGAACTATCTTCTTCTTCTTCTCTGGAAGGGTTAAGTGAGGGAGGCGGTCTCCACCATTCCTCTTCTGCCCAGTCCCTGACACCCTGGGTGCCCACAAATTTTTTACCATGGGAGCCTGACCGGGCAACTCAATGCATCACACGCTGCAGTGGGGGTCTCCATTGGGCCTTCCCACTGTGTGTGACATCATACGCGCATGCTGGGCACCCACAATGTTAGGTGGAGCCTGGGGCACTTCTCATTAGATGCTTTTTAAGCACATCTGATAAATTCCAAAATAAACTAAAATGCTGTTCACAGGAAAAAGGTCAGTGCTCTCCGGCAACAGTTGCGCGGCTTCACTCCACAGAAGTAGCGATTGACTCTCAGCACCGCGCCGTTCAGCCCCGTCCCGCTCCGGAGCCCCTCTCGGGATTCCCTTGCAGGTTGGGGGGGGGCGCTTTAGGTGCCCGCCGAGTCCCACGGTCACAGGCTTCCCCCGCCTGTGATTTTCGATAGGGTCCCCGCTTCGCCGCAGTGGCAAGACCCGATTTCTGCGGAGCTTCTCCCTCCGGACTAGAGGGAATCCGCCATTGCCGATGGCGCCGCCTCCGGAAGTCCCAACTAGGATGTATTTTTGTTTGTTTGTTTGTTTTAATTTTTTTTGGAAAATTAATAAAAAAACAAACACTCAACAGCATATAGGAAATTCCCAGAGGATTTTGGATTACACTGTTAATGTTGAGACAGGCATGCATAAAACTCCTCTGTCTTCCAAGCGTTCCCTTGCTCAGAGTCATCTCTACAGTCCCAGTCCATACAGTCCCAGACATACACATTCTCTCCTCCACTGGAAGGAGGCATCTTTTGCATCCACGCCTCTTGGGCTTGCCGATCAGAAGGTCGGCGGTTCGAATCCCCACAATGGGGTGAGCTCCCGTTGCTCTGTCCCACCTTCTGCCAACGTAGCAGTTCGAAAGCACACTAGTGCAAGTAGATAAATAGGTACCGCTGTGGCAGGAAGGTAAACGGCGTTTCTGTGCACTCTGGCTCCCATCATGGTGTTCTGTTGCTCCAGATGCGGTTTAGTTAATGCTGACCACATGACCCAGAAAAGCTGTCTGTGGACAAACGCCGGCTCCCTCGGCCTGAAGCGAGGTGAACACTGCACCCCATATTCACCTTTGACTGGACTTAACTGTCCAGGGGTCCTTTACCTTTACCTATACCACTTTAACAGTCACAAACTAAAATGCTGTTCCAGCTCATTTTAGTCCTGAGAGCTGTCATTTGCTAATGGCGCAGGGAATTGTAAGCTTGGGAGGACATTGCCCTTAAAAAAATGGCAGTTCTCGGCATTCTTTGGGGGAACCCATGACTGCTAAAAGTATTATAAGAGTGCTTAAAATGTACAGATGTGGAAGAGACCTGCCGACACGTCTGCTCAACCCAATGGCAACACATACGTGTTCTTCATATCCTGAGCACAATCACCAGGACATGTTATCAACTCTCCTCACCACACCATCCTGTTATGCAAGCAATGTTCCCCGAATCTGCTATCAATATCTCTTATGGCAGGAACCAAGATTACTTGCAGTGTTTTGCCATGGTAGGCTGCTTGCTTTCTATTTATAGCTGGGAAAGAATCTGCTTCTAAACATTCACTGCAAAGCTGTTCCCTTTGGCATTGAACGCTCCTCGGATTATTTCCCATGTGCCCAAATATTTACTGCCCGTTAGCCATCTTTATTTATTTGATAACTAACAGAATGATATCGCAGCTGCAAGAATACCCTCATACTTTATATTTGCCCGCATGAGCAGGAGATACCAACACATTCCTGAAGCATGTGACTTCCATGGTAAAATGGTCACATTTTGGATACAAGATTTCATATTCAAAACTGGAAAATCAGCCAGATTTTATTTAAAAAGTTGGAACTATACATTTGAGCTATAATGCTGATAAGATCTTTATTATCATTATCATCATTATCATTATTATCATGCAGAGGCCTAGAAAAGGGGTGGGTATTTTTTTTTCATCCAAAGGGCCACATTCCCATAGTCTCCACTAGGAGAAGTAGGAAGGTTGCAAATGATACCATGCTTCCCTGCCTCTGGAGCTGTAAACAAAAGGCGATGGGATAAGTAGATGTGATGCCTTGTCTCCAGAGATAGGCAAATCTGTGATAGAATCATAGTTGGGGGGGGACACCCCAAGAGTCATCTTTTCCAACCCCCGCAACGCCGGAATCACAACCAGACGATTCCTGACAGACGGTCACCCAACCTCTGTTATACACAGATAGAGCTGGGTTAACCAGATTTCCACCTTTACAAGCAGCAAATTTCAAAATAGCTTTTGCTGATTTAAAGGCTTGCAATTTAATATTGGATAGCTGTATACCGTGGTACCTCGGGTTAAGTCCTTAATTCGTTCTGGAGGTCTGTACTTAACCTGAAACTGTTCTTAACCTGAAGCACCACTTTAGCTAATGGGGCCTCCCACTGCTGCCGCGCCGCCAGAGCACAATTTCTGTTCTCATCCTGAAGCTTCATCCTGAAGCAAAGTTCTTAACCTGAAGTACTATTTCTGGGTTAGCGGAGTCTGTAACCTGAAGCGTATGTAACCCGAGGTACCACTGTATTCCAGGATGCCATTTCTGAATAAACCAACCCCAGATATTTAAACATATTTACTTGGTTTATGATGTGTTCATTCAGCTGCCAAACATGCTTTTTAGCTTGCTTCCCAAATACAATGACCTGCGTCTTATCGTAATTTATAGATAAAGGATTCCTCGTGCAATATGAACTTAATTTCTCAAGCAGCCGTCTCAGGCCCGCCTGGGTTCTAGATACAAGTACTAGGTCATCAGCATACATTAAGACTCAGAGGTTTTGGTTGAGAATTGTGACAGGGGCAAACTGTAGGCCCTCCAGTCCTTTAACCATGTCATTAATATAAAATTTAAACAACAAAGGCACCAAAATGCATCCCTGTTTGACTCCAGTAATGGTCTTAATTCTAGTAGTAAGATGGCCCAACCTCTGTTTAAAACCTCCAGTGAGGAGATTCTACCACCTTCCAAGGTAGCCAGTCCAGAAGTGAATTTTATTATGTATGTTTTCCATAAAAGCAATTCTATGGCAATTCAAAACCCTGCTTTGTGCTTGATTTATTTGCATGCAATCTGATATATGGCCGCAGGAGATTGTTTAGATTGAAGGAAACTCTGAGAAGCTCAAGGTCTAGGGTGGGGTAGCAAATGTGGCCA